CTCCGTGCCCACGCGGGGAGGCGGCCCGGGTTGCGCCGCGCGCTCGGCTCCCGGCGGTGTCGGCTCCCGGCGGTGCCAGCCCGCCGAGGCGAGGGCAGGGGGCGCTTCCAGAAGTTGGGCTTGGGGAGCGCTGGGGAAGCCTGCGCTGCTGTGGCCGAGGAAGAGCGGGATGACTTGGGGAGAGGAAGCGGGGTCAGGATGGCCGACCCCGGTGGTGAACGCGTACTCCTGGGTATTTTCCAAGCGGAGCTGGAGCGTGGTCCTCGAAGACACAGAGACCAGAGGGTGCGGAGGCTGTCCTGGAGAAGTGGACCTCAGCACGCCTAAAGCCCACGCACCTGGTGCCCTAGAGGCGCTTTTGCTCCCTCCCGCCCCTGTCCGCACCAAGTGTCGCCTGTCAGCTTGCGCGTGCGACACGGCCCTCTGCAAAGCCGGGAGGTGGCGACTTCTCAGGCGTGGGGCAGCAGGCTATCTGTGTTGGTGGCATCTTTGCTTTTGAAGGTAGAGCGCAACCTCTGCGTGCTGAAAGGGCTAGGGAGGGCGCTCAGCCGGATGCCAGAAGGTGCAACCCTTTCTTTTTGCCTGTTTGTCTGGTTGGTTTTCCTCCCCTCTTAGTGAAACTTCATTGGAGAGGATGAGAAGGATTTAAAAATCCTGGGGAGGAGCTGCGGGAGTGTTTGCGTGCCAAGGGAGGGCAAACTCTCCTCTGAGATGTCAGGCACTAAGCAGCAGCTTCATTCATTTCACGAAGTGCGTCCCCTGTGAGTGTGCCCCGCTGAATCTCCAGGATTGTAGCTTCTTTGAGGGCTCACCTGGCACATTTTGGTGAAGACAGGCGCGCTGGTGGGTTCGGCAGGTGGCCATGAGAGATGAGGAAGACCTTGCTCTGTACTGGGGATTAAACCCAGGGCTTCCACACGGACTGACAAACCCGTCCCTTTACTTTTTTTGTTTTTGTTTTTGTGACAGGGCCTCACCAAGTCACTGAGTTGCCTAGGCTAGCCTTGTCTTCCTGCCTCAGCCTCCCAGAGTGTTAGGGGGCATAGGCATGGGCCGCCGCACTCAGCTCTTCTATGTTTTGAGGCAGGGTCTTGCTATGTAGCTCAGGCAGGTCTTGAACTCACTATGTAGTTCAAGGTGGCCTCTGCACTCTTGGCTAACCGACCCTCTTGGTCTTAGTTTCTGGGCTGCTGGGATTAGAAGCAGGCACCACCACCCCAGGCTTTTTTTTTTTTTTTTAATTGAGTATTAGAATAGTGGAAAACACGCAAGACAACTTTCCTCCAAAATTAGTGTAATTTAGGTGAGAAAGAAGTTGCAGAACCCTCCATCCCCCTTGTGAAATTTTTGGTCGTAGCCTAGGTGATCCAGGGAAGCGTGGAAAGGCAGGGCCCCTTAGACTGTTCCCCTCTCCACGTACCCACTTTCACAAGATCCACAGAAACTGCTAGTCTATATTTTAGGTGTCCTTGTTGCACTTTGACCTCCAAAGGGAAGGTTAACTTTTAGAAAACTTGACCCTTCAGAATATGAGTCCAGGGCATACTTAGAGCAGGCTTAGGCTACAGGTGTGTTTTGAGTTCATCTTCTGCCCACGCCTTGTTCAGTTTTTTTGCGGACACTGTTCCCTGAGTGTGTTATTTTCTACTCCAGGTTCTTTGTTTTCTATCCCTGAATCACACGATTCGTCCTCCCTGAACCAGTAATTGCCAAGGGCAGTTGAGGGGGTTCTGGGTGGGGAGGAATATCGAATTTTTTAAATCAAATGTTCAGAAAAATCTAAAATGTGTTTATCATTGTACTTTGTGACAACATAAATACCACATATATTTTTGGCATTTGTTAAAGATTATATGATTAGTTGAAAAGAGAGGTTGTGTTGCAAATGCTCCAATCTTCATTCTCAACTTCATTGTTTTAATATTTATTATGGTGCTTTTAACATCGTGTGATAAACTGTGCTTTGTTGATTCTTGCCTGATTCTTATAACTTCATGGCTTGATTAAAGTTCCTGCATTTTTTTTATTCACTGTTAAGATTTTGTAAGTTCAGGAGGTTAGAAAACATCTATGCATTTTGGGAAGTTGCTGGCTTGTTTACTAAGTTGTGTGTTGTGTGTGTTCCATGTTGGACTTGGGTCCCGTGTCTCCAATCTGTGACTTGTGACAGTTCTACTGCAGAACTTTTGAGTCATAATGTGTGCCTGGGGATTTTGGGTGGTGCTTGGCTAATACAGGAAGTACTAAAAAAGAGTTAAATAATTCAAAAGCAGTTTTATTTGGTACCAAAAAACCCCCCAAACCCTTTAAAGACCAGAAGAAAAATATAGACAGTCTAAAATTATAGCTCAACATACCCAAGTGGTGCCTTTTTAATTACAGTACTTTCCCCCCAGAACTTTTTAATCCTATTGCTTTTATATTTAATAAGGAGACCAGTTAAAACATAAGCCAAACAGAACTATTACAAATAATGGGATAAGTGGTGGGTATAGCCAGATGTTTTCCCTAAAGTTAAAAGAGTTAAAGAATTTGAACTCTGCCAAATTCCCTTGCATCCCCCGCCACAACCCTAATAAGCTGCAATTTTGAAAGGTAACACAGGCTTGGAGGGAAGCAGGAAAAAAAACAAAAAAACCCAAGAAAGAAACACATGCCTGTTGTGGGCCTCCCCTACTGGTTGGCCGTCCCGCGACCTTTGGCTCAGTGGCAGGTGCCACTCAAATGGCCATGGGAGGACAAGGCAGAGTGCAAATGCTTCAGCCGGCAGGGCCTTTATTTATGGGTTACCCGGAGCTGCAGACTGAGACTGGGCTCATTTGCTTCCCATTTCACAGTGGATTTTCAGAGGCCTTGCCAAGACCATGGTTTTGTTTTTCTCTTAACCAACAATTTAATTTTGGCCCAACGGTTGCTGTTCTGAAAATGTAGAACAAGTAAAGAACATTTGCAATGTTTTTTTTCTTTTTACTCTTCTAGCTGCAGTTTAGCAAACACAATTCCATATGCGGGCCATTCACCTGGCAGCAAACGTTCTTGAGGGATTAGGGTGTCCCTGTGCTAAGACAGTCTCTGCCCTCACCCCATGCCTCGTGTCCCTAGAGCTCATACTCTGGTACTTTATGTATCAGCTGGCTCTGGGAGTGAGCTTGATTAAATGGCATGTGAAACAGGAAGCAGTAGACGAGCACGCAAGTGAAGGTTCTCGGCCTAAGGAAGAGATGGAAATGTAAAAGCAGAGTAGTGCTGGTTTTTGTACAAGGAGCACATCTTGTAAAATTTGGTACTGTCCCCCATTATCTCTGTGGGGGCTGGGAGTCTCAGACTGTGGGTGGATGGACGCGTTGTTGATGACCTTAGGGGAGGCTGCGGGCTCCTGAAAGCTGCAGCCTGTGTGGCTGCATGACCAGCAACCCCACACTGGACCCCACAATTGCAGTCCTGTGGAACAAAAATAAAAACATGGGCACATCAGGATGTGCACGAGGACTTTCTCCCCAGGCCTGGAGGTTGAACCCGGGCCTTGTGTGTGCTAGGCAGGCTTTCTGCCACTGAACCACAATGCCCACCCTATGTCTGAGGATGTCTGTCACCTTATTTTGTGAGATTATTATATGAATTCTGTAGACTATTTTTGTGAAGGTTACCCATGATATGTTAAATAAATATTCCACGTGAAATAAAAGCTAACTGCAGTGTATTGTAAGTAGTCTGATCCTATTTCTGATTTTAAGGATTTTTTTTTTTTTTTTTGCTCCGAATGCCTTCAGGGCAGGTTTGGCTGGCTTGAGTTGTGGGGATTGAACCACAGCAACCTGAGTTTGACTGCTTTGTCAAAGCAGCCACTTAAAGAACTGCGCTAAGGGGCAGCCCCCCCTCCATTTCTGATTTTAAACAAAGAAGAGGCCCGCTGTGTATGACCTTGGGAAAAGATGCAGAAGGACAGGCCACTGGATAGTGTCTAAATTTGGCAACAGCAAGGAGAGCAGAAACCTCCAGAC